AACGAAGCCCTTGGGAAAAAGATGCAATGAGTTGAGTTGTTTTGTTATGTAGGTAGATATAACTTCAAATACAATCTGTTCATTGAATAGTTGAATGATACAAACAATGCTTATGGCACTAGCCTTATAAACTAAAAATGATACTTTTGAAATCTCTGTCAGTTTATGATATACAATCAAGATATTACATACTAATGAATCAGAGCATGGTATTTGTTTGTTATTGAAATATATTTTGATTAAGCCTCTTTGAATGTGATGAGCATTTTTTTTTCCCGTGTAGTTGAATTTTAATTTGGAGATGAACAGATGGTCAGGTGATATTTGATATTTTCTATTTGGTTGTTGAGAAATCAAGAAATCAATATAAGTTGATGTTCAAACTAGTATTTTTAGAATAATTGTTACAAAAAAAATAAAATAAATAAAATATCAAACTTTTAGAGACCAATTTTAGTTGTCTCAAAAAAAGTATAACCTTTACACACCACTTTCATTTGTCCCAAAAACTAAAACTTTTAGAGACCAATTCATGTTGTCTCAAAAATTAATTTTTTTGTCTCCATAACTACTTCTTTTGCTCTAGACTGTGATAAGACCTTTAGAGACAAATTTTGGTTATCTCAAAATCAAAACTTTTTGCAACAACATATTTTGGTCTCTAAAAATCTATTTATAGTGACAAATGTAAAATTTTGTCTCTAAAAGTCATTTTTTTATTTTTCTGGACGGGCCATTTGGGATAAATTTTTTTTTTTTTTTTATCGAGAAAAGCATCAACCATACAGAATTGAGCTAAAGGCACCCAACAAGAGCCACAAGAGGCTGGGACAACCAATGAACAGGCAAATAATCATGTAGACAAGCTCTAGCCACCCAATGTGCATCTCTGTTTCGAACTCTGGGGGACCATTTGAACGTCAGACCCCCACTATGGGCTAGTGACCGAATGTCTTGTATCACAGCACAAATTTCCCACGGAGGGACCCCCTTTCTCTGAAACACAAAGTTGAATGACAGTTTTGCTATCACTCTCAATCTCTACTGCGACATATTAAAGAGCACGGGCCATGGCGCATGCAAGACAAACTGCAATTGCTTCTCCTTGTACTACTATTGTCAACCGAATTTTTGCAGCAATACCATCCAGCAGATTGCCCTTCTCATCGCGAAGAAGCACTGCAACAGCCCCCCTCCCTCTACTCAGATTAGTTGCCGCATCACCGTTAATTTTCCAGATCCCTCTCGGAGGAGGAACCCACTGAGGCCCTGAAGACTGTGCCCCAGCTATTGTTTCTGTTGCGTATCTAGGGCACACCAGGGGACACTCACAAGCAAAAACACAAGACTTTTAACGTGGTTCGGCAAACCGGCCTATGTCCACGGGAGCGATGTTGTTATATATCAACAAATGGAGGAGATTACACACTCTTAACTCACTGTCTCTCTATATAACACACTCTCTCAGCTATGATGCCCTATATCAACTCACCATCACTTCTCTATATATAGAGATTACAAAGGCAAGAGGCACCCTTTGAAATGAGCTGGCTGCCAGCCCATTTCGGTGGCTTTCCAGATTGCTTCATGGCCTCATGGCCTCATGGCCTCATGGCCAACTCACATGGCTTCCCCACCATGTAGCTGGCTGCTCCTTTCCTTCATATGGCCAGAATCTCTGTAGCCAACTCAACTTGGGTTGATCTCCTACAAATCACCCCCTCAACCCATATGAGGTGATCCATAATAGCACCCCCTGCCTGGAGTGCCCGGCACCCCTTCACTGGGGTGCCATGCAAAGCTTACTTTGCAACTCTTTGAGATGGCATCTCTCCCTTCCATCCAGTCTTGGAGAGATCCCAATATGTCTCTAATTCAGGAGCAAAAGAAACTTTCTTCCCTGGGACATGCTTTGCTGTCTTGGTCTCTTTGCTCTGAGCTGTCTTTAAAATTGGCCGCAATGGCTCCGTCTTGTGCACCTCCGAACTGCCTCCATGCGTTCTTGTACACTTTGGTTGCCATGTCTGCTGGGCCCTATGTCTCTTCTGTGCATGTCTTGTACGTCTTGCCCGGTAAGTGACAGTAGCTCCGTCTGTCACAACCTTCTCCACAAGCCTGTACAGATTCCCCTCCAGTCGTCCATGTAGCATCACCGTATCTCCATGGATGACTTTGAGATTTCCTTTGCTAGATGTGAAGCTATAACCCTTCATGTCTAGCATACTTAAGGAAATTAGATTCTTCTTCAGTCTTGGCACGTGTCGGACTCCATCCAACGTGAAAATTTTTCCATCTTCCATTCTCAGCCGTACTGTTCCGATGCCAACAATCTTACTCACAGTGTTGTTAGCCACTCGAACAATACCTCCATCCTTGGCTTGGTAGGTAGAAAAAAGTTTCTTATCCATGCATATATGATATGTGCTTCCGGAATCTAAGATCCAGTTAGGTTTCGTCATACTCGACGAAACTGTAAATGCATACTCATCCTTAGCATTTACTGCAGCAGCGACATTTGATGAGCTCGCCTGTTCCTTGTGTGCCTTGTCCTCCTTGAGCTTTGCACAGTCTTTTATGAGGTGATCCTCCTGATCACAGTAATAACACTTTCTCCTGAAGCCTGACCTTGATTGCGAACGTCCTCTTGATTTGGATCTACCCCGTCTATCGTTGGACCTACCTTTGCCTTGCTCATTTTCTGAGGCAACCATGGCATTTCCTTCTGGGTGTTTGCTACTGCTACCTTCCTGTTTCTTCATCGACTCATGAGAAATGAGTGTAGCAATCACCTCATCCAGTCCAAGAGCATCCTTCCCGTACAATAGAGTTGTCCTGAGATGCTCATATGATGCAGGTAGAGAGACCAGCAAGATCATAGCCCTATCTTCCTCCTGGGTCTTGTCTCCAATGGTGTCCAATTCCATTGTGATCCTATTGAACTCGTCCAGATGTTCTGTGAGGTTCGCACCTTCTGGCATTCTAAGTGTATATAGCTGCCTCTTCAGAGATAACCGGTTTGTCAAAGACTTTGACTTGTACCTCATCTCTAACTTTGCCCATAGCTCCGCCGGATCTACTTCACTGATGACTTCCCGGAGTGTGTTGTTCCCGAGATACAACTGAATTGTACTGTTTGCCAATTCCCTCAACTCCTCCCACTTGTCATCCTTCATGTCTTCCGGTTTGTTGGACTTTTTGAGAAGAGCTTTCACCAGACCTTCTCGTGTTAAAATGTTTTTCACCCTTTGCTGCCACAGGGTAAAGTCATTATTGCCATTAAAAGGCTCAATCATGAAACTTGTGCCTTTTCCTGCCATTGTAAATTTCTTTCCTTTTTAAAGAAATTTCGATTTAAGAATCTGACCGTACGGATGGGTCCAGAATATTCCAAATAGTTGGAACGCACTATTGGATCGCCACGGACTGCTCAAATTAGCCGGAAAATCACTTCGGATTGCCAAAATAAAAACTGCAAATTTTTAAAAACCTTCGTTGCAAAATCTGACCGTACGGATGTGTCCGAAATATTCCAAATAGTTTGAAAACACTATTGGCTCACCCAAATCGGACCTCAAATGGCTTAGATCACCAAAACAATTTTAACGGTTCAGATCGGCAGAATCTGGTGCGCCTCAGAAGCACCAGATTTTTCTCCGGTTCGGCTGGCGTCTGGCTGACGTCAGCGGCTCAGTCAGCGGCTCGGTCAGCGGCTCGGGCTCGGTCAACGCGGCTCCGGCTCGAGCGGCTTGGTGCGCGCGCGTGCGGCGCGTGTCGCGCGTGAACTCACGCGTCTTCTTCCTTCGTCCGCGCGTGGAGCGCGTGGGTGAGACTGGGACCACGCGCCGGGAGTCTGAACGGCGCGTGTGGGCGCGTGATGAGACTGGGAGTCACGCGCAAACTTCTAGAGGCGCGTGAGGGCGCGTGGAAGCTCCTCTGGGCTCTGTTTTTGCTGTTCTGGACTCCTCTCGGAGAGTTCTTCCTCCTGGTATGGTCAAAAGTGGATTTCGACCACTTCGAAATCTGGACACTTTCGGAAAAAACTCGATTTTTCTCCACCCGGGCTCTGATACCAATTGTTGCGGATCTGGGGCACACCAGGGAACTCAAACAAGCAATAACACACAAGTTTTAACGTGGTTCGGCAAGCCGGCCTACGTGGCCAGGCAATTCATCCGGAAAGACGTCGGGGAAATCACTAACAATCGGGATGTCGGCTAAGTTAACATTTCCATTCTGATCACTCAGTATACTACACAAGTAACCTCGACACCCCTTCTGAATTAACTTACAGGCCTTAATGGACGAAATCAAGTATGGTGGGGGCACTATCCCTTTACCCTGGAAAGTAATCTCGGCTAGGTTCGGGGGTCTCAGTGTGACACTTTTCGAAACACAATTAATAGATGCATTGTTTGTAACTAACCAGTCTATTCCCAGTATAATATCAAAATGAGCTAGGTCTAGAGGCATTAGATCTACTAGCAATTCAACATTCTCAATCACAACAACACATGCTCTGTAAATGGATGCAACAAACATAGATCTCCCAGATGGAGTAGATACAGACAACACATAATCAAGGGGCTCTAGTTCTCTATTTATTTTCTCGGCAAACTTAGTAGATATAAACGAATGAGTAGAACCCTAATCAATCAACACATAAGCATCTTGGGAGCAAATTAGAAGTATACCTGACACTACTGCCTCAGTATTCTGAGTGTCTCCTGGTACTAATGCAAACACTCTGCCTTGTCTCATCTGTCCTTTCCCAGCATTTCCCTTCTGAACGGAACCCGAGGTATTCTCACCCTTCTTGCTGTTATCGGTTTTTGTCTTAGGGCAATCTCTCACATAATGGCCCATCTCGCCACATTCATAACAGGCTCCAGACGTTCGTCGGCAGATCCCGAAATGCTGTTTCCCACAATCCGAACACATCGGTTTAACACTCTCTTTTTTTTTTTTTTTATCGAGAAAAGCATCAACCATAGAGAATTGAGCTAAACGCACCCAACAAAAGCCATAAGAGGCTGGGACACCCAATGAACAGGCAAATAATCATGTAGACAAGCTGTAGCCACCCAATGTGCAGCTCTGTTTCGAACTCTGGGGGACCATTTGAACGTCAGACCCCCACTATGGGCTAGTGACCGAATGTCTTGTATAATAGCACAAATTTCCCACGGAGGGACCCCCTCTGAAACACAAAGTTGAATGACAGTTTTGCTATCACTCTCAATCTCTACTGCGACACATTGAATAGCACGGGCCATGGCGCATGCAAGACAAACTGCAATTGTTTCTCCTTGTACTACTATTGTCAACCGAATTTTTGCAGCAATATCATCCAGCAGATTGCCCTTCTCATCGCGAAGAAGCACTACAACAGCCCCCCTCCCTCTACTCAGATCAGTTGCCGCATCACAGTTAATTTTCCAGATCCCTCTCGGAGGAGGAACCCACTGAGGCCCTGAAGACTGTGCCCCAGCTATTGTTTCCACAAAGGCAGAGTCCACCTCACAAGCTGCCAAGAAAACCGCTTCCTCTTGTTTGGCCTTGGCAATCACCTCAATAGGATCCACAATGTAGTGATTAAAGAGATGCTCATTTCGTACCTTCCAAATACTCCAGGCCACCCAAATCATGGAGCAGAGCACTGATCGACCCTCACTAGCGGTGCCTAAGGATGCAAAAAGCTTGCCAAACCAAGACCAAATTGTTCCCATGTCAAGCTCATCACATCTGAAGCCCAACCCACTGTCAAACCAAACTCTCTTAGCCCACTCACATCCGAAGAAAAGGTGTTCTACAGACTCCGCCGCTGTTAGACAGATAGGGCAATCGGTAGAATGGGCACACCGCCTACGCCATAAATTTTGCTTTGTTGCCAATGCGTTATGATACATCCTCCATACAAAGTGTTTAAGTTTTGGAAGCAGATTCAAATTCCAAGCAATCTTCCACTCTTTCGCAGACCAGTCTACGGAAGATCCAGGTAAATTTGTCCGTGCATGCGCTTGCTTCACCGCCTTTTGGTACCCCGATTTCACTGAGTAGCAACCCTTGGAATCATGGTGCCACACCAAAGTGTCATGTCCTTCCAGCAACGCAACCGGTACGGAAAGGATGGCATCACAGTCCGCGTCAGAAACTAGATTTCGAAGTTTTACCTCATCCCACGACTGCCGGGCTGGCTCAAACGGAGAAAATTAGTTGGTTAAAGTTTTTCTCAACAATTATTACACTTTTAGGAACGGATTATATTTATTCCTAAGAACTGATTTCTTGCAGTGAAAGGTTTGATTTCTCTCTAGTTTTGGTGAGGAGGCCAATGGATTTTTATAGTAGATTCTGATGCCTTGAGACCCATTAGCTCTCTTATAAAAATTGATCTAAATATCCAGTTGAATAGGAGAGAAACATTTATTAGAATAAAAGCAAGAACAAAAGTGTTCTCGATGTAGTTATTATAACCTCTTCTCCTAATTAGTGCTTTTATAATATGCTAATAAGCATGAACTATGAGGGAGAGCAATTGGGTCTAAAAGAGTGTGTTTTGTTGTGTGAACAAAATCACAATTGGCACTAGACATAGGAACTCACTGATTTATTTATTTATTTTTATCAAAATAAATTTTATTGAATAAGAATCAAGGTGAAATCTTACATCGGACATCAATAAAGTAAATGAAAAAGTGCTATAAGTATCATAGCATAATATTGATTCACTTTGACTATGTTTAAATCATGAATTTATATAAAAATTTATATAATTTTTTGTCATTTTTTCCATTTATCATCTCTTTTCCTTTATCTCCACAAATTCCTATTTAAATCTCAAATCCAATATAAACGGAATATATAAGATGTCTAAATGAGTATTCTGAACTCTAAAGCAGTCAAAAACTCAACTAACTTAAAGAAAAACTTTCTAATTTAGGAATCTATTCCATTGTTAGAAACAAAAGCAATTATTCAAAGTACAATAACCTTCACCTTCCATTTCTTTATTTATATAGTTTTCACTTTATATGTTATTGATCACTACAAAAAATTAATGTTCTAAAGACCAAAATTTAGGGATAAAATTATTTTTTAGAGACTAAATATTTTTGTTAAGAAAAGTGTCATTATTATATTTTTAGCAATAAAAATTAGACATTAGTGATAAATTATTATTCTTTTGAGACCAAATTTTTTGTCTCCAAAAATAAACTATATTGAGACCAAATTATTTTGTCCCTAAAAGTCTATTTATTAGTGACATTTTCAATATTTTGTCGCTAAAAACCTTATTTTGGACTTTTCAAAACGATTTTTTAGCGACTATCCTCGTGACGATAAAAATTGATCCCTAAATATATTTTTCAACAAAATTTTCACTTTTAGAGACCAAAATTTGGTCTCTAAACCTGTTATTTGTTGTAATGGATATGTAAGGTTGATTTTGGTGTAAATTCTCTATATGTGATGGTAACACTGCGTACAAACCTATATTACATTTTTTATGTTATTGATTCCTAAAGTTGTGATTTAGCATCCACAATTTGATTATTCCTACCAAATGGTGATATTGAAACCTATAACAATCTGTTTTATTATAAAATAAATGCTAGTTGAAGCCGATCCTCCACTGCCAAATCTTAGAAAGGTGCCCTTAATCTTTAAGGAAAATGTTTGGTGATCGAATTTTTGTGGCTTGAATTGCTCGAATGTGTCAAAACGACGTCGTTTTATACTCAAAACGATGTCGTTTTATACTCAAAACAACGTCGTTTTAGATATTTCGAGCCATTCGAGCCATTATTTTTGGGGCCACCAATCATTGTTGAATCTTTAAATAGTTCTAACATGGTTCAATTCGATTTTTAAAACGTTAATTGTTTTGAACATTCGGAGAGAATCAACACACAGTACAGGAAGCTAGAGGATTCGTTCACTGAGGTCTATATAAAGAGCTTTGGCTTGCCACCTTCGTATCAACACACCAAAAACAATAACAACAAAAACATTTTTTTAAAAAAATTATGTGGCATACCGTGGTGACCTTACCAAGCAAGGTTTTAAAAAGCGGCCGCAACCGTTACATAACGCCGTCACGTAACGGTTTTGGCAGTTACCACCACCCGTTACGGTCGCTTTTGCAGTGTGATTGAAATTCACAGGTGTGTCGGCCGTAGCAACTGCCGTAGTGGTGCCGTAACGGCCTGTTATGCACCGTTATGTAACGGTTCCAAACTGTTTCTTTCGAAAAAAACACACAAAAATGGCTAAAAATGGGAGAAGAGGGATAGAGAGAAAAGGGAAGATAAAAAGAGAAAATGGAGGAGCAAGAGATAGAGAGAGAGAAGAGGGAAAATGAATAACATGTTATTAATTTGTTGAAACTGCTTCACCTATGCTATTCTATTCAGCTGCTATCACTAAACCATTTTGCTTGTGTGCGTCTATCTATATATTGTTTGAAAATAATAATAATAATAAGTGTGATTATTATCTATTTGGCTTGGTTAAAATATGTATATATATATATATATATATATTTAGGCTCTTATTTATTCTCTTACTTTTGTCATTATTTATCTTTTACATAATAGTTAGTGATTGATTTTTTGTATAATATAAAATCATTAATTATTAAAATAAAATGTAAAAAACTCAATTTAAAAATATGAAATATATTCGATCATACTTAAAAATTTACCAAAATTTATCAATACTTATTTTTAACCCAATAAATATGATCATGGACAAAAAAAATATGCGTATTGATAAATTTTTTTCAAATTGTGCGAAAAATAAAAAAATTCACAGTTCCGGTAACCGCAACCGTTGCACTGCGGCCTTTACACCCCGCAACCGCAACCGCGTCACCGCCACCGTTACGGCGACCGCAACCGCTTTTTAGAACCTTGTTACCAAGATTGGGTCCGATGCCTTTGCCATTTTGGATCAATGCATGGGACAGGCTGGGAAGCATTGTCCCCATCCTCGTCCTCATCAAGAGGTTCAAAACCCTCAGCTATATCCATTATGGGTGGCGAAAGGTACTCCGACCAAAGAAAAGGTTATTAATTGCAATCAGGCAGCCAAGAAGTATGGTGGGGTGGTGATTAAAGATTTTGGCAAGAAGAGGCATGTTCGCTATTAAGCTTTTTTGATACTTGCCCGGATGAAAACAAATTAACCCTAGTTTTGTAGTACTAGTAATGTGTCGGAGTGGTTTGTGTATCTTGTAGCTGGTTTGAACCTATAAAAGGTTTGCAATTTTTCTCCTTACACAGAAATCATTTACAGGACTCGGACACGAGAGTTGTGTCCGGATTCTGTAATTATTTTCTGTGTTTTAGACTTTTTCAAAGGTTTAGTATTATGATCTCAATATTTCAGGAGTATGTGTTTGTTTGCGTTTTTTATCACTTTATGTGATCTCGCTGTGTTGTAGTAATAAATATGCTTGTTTTTTATATAATCACCGTCTCTCTCTCTCTCTCTCTCTCTCTCTCTCTCTCTCAGGGTTTATATGGATAAATTATAATTAGTCTAACTTTGTTTTAATTTTTTTTGTTTTTTAAATTTTCTATTTTAAGTTCTCTTAACAGTATAAAAAAGAAGGATTTTTTTTATTGTTTTCCTATGATCTTTTTCTAAATGTGAAAAAAACAAGTGAGCTTGTGTTGATCTAAGTGTTCCCACAAATTCATCAAACTCACTTCAAATATCAAACAATATAGGATAATTTTACTATACACTATAAAATGTAAATATCATATACACCTCTACTTTTAGTTATTGGATTTGAAAAAATGAATATGAGTTGCTGATCATTAGGGCGTATCAATACCGTTTTTAGACTAAAAAAATCACTTTAATCGTGTAATCAAAATTACCACATTGAATTGTAATCAATATCAATTTAGAAGATAACCAAAATTCCATAATGTGTCATAAGTATTTTTTATTTAATAATTTGTTAGTCCTACCACAACAATAACATGTAACCACCAAACACCACAATAAATTGTAATCAACACTTGTTTAAATCATAATTTTATATGATATATAAACATTTTTGGAGTGTTCTCATAGCATAGAAGCAAATAAAAGGTCTACATTTCACACTGTTCATATATGCTTTACAAGAAAATATTCAAAGGTGAAGTTGCTTTGGAAGATACCTTGCTTTCCTTCATCCTCAATCCAAAACAATTGATTGTGTTCTCTACAAGCATGGCATGACATGACAATAGGGCAGTTTGTTACAGCTTTTATAAACTGATTATAACTTATTTTAATGTGGAATTTTGTGTCAAACTATTTAATACACTTTTTACTTATAGTTTATTAGACAAAAATAACTTAAATAAGTTAATTATTTAGAAGATGAGAGATGGTGGCTTTTGTTTTTTGCTTATCAATTTTTAAATTAAAAAAAAAATTATACCAAACAATGCCAATGTCTTTTAACAAACTTTATCCAAATCCCCCCCCCCAACCCTTCTTGCAAGATGCAAATCTTAATTATTTTGCAAAAATATATGGCATATGCTCCTTGATTGGACTAACCCACGAAATTATCTTCTCCTACTTTCATTAAATATTGAAGAATATTTTGCTTTAAGAATTGTAAACTTGTACAAATTAAAAAAAGAGTGAGAAACACAATGGAGAGAGAGAGAGAGAGAGAGAGAGAGAGAGATCCAATGCAAGTACAAAGATAGTTAACAAGCTAATATAAAGGGTACAATTCATACATCCTATATACCTTCTAAAAATTTTTGGTGAATCATTTTGAAAAATATATTAAAAATTAATGCTATAAAAGAAAGAGTTAGCGTTCACCCTAGTTGAATTAAACATCAAATCTAGTTTTTATAAGAGGGTTACTGGGTTAGGATCATCTGTTTTAATTTTTTTTCCTCTCTATTTCAAACACCATTGAACAATGCTACAATTATTATTATGTACACACCTCTCTCTCTTTCTCTCTCTCTAAAAACCTCCACCCTCGGGCCTCACTTTTGGCCGGCCAATCGCCGCCATTGGCTATGGCGGTCGGCTGGCCCAGCTCTCTTTTGTGTTTGTGTGCGGTTTTATGCCTTCAATAAACTTGATTCCCACATTTTCTTTCCACTTTGGTGTTCTTTTTTGTTTCATCAAGGGTGCTTTGGGTTGGTTATTTGGTATCTTCAGGGAGTTGTTTATTTTGTTGTCTGTTTTTGTCTCAATCTTGGGGTTGCTCGTTTTTGTTTCAACAGGGGTGCTTATTTTTAGGGTCAAAACAGAGTAGAAGGAGGTCAGTTTTGGACCGGAATAGAGGTTGGCCAGACCTGGTTGGAGCTTCATTCGGGCGCTCTTTTGCGAGTGGGAGTTTGAGGGATGAGCTCGGTTTCGGATCTTTGGAGTTGCTTCGGTGCTTTTGTTTGGAGGGAACGAGGGTGTTGTAGTTGATCCAGATCTGTCTAAGTTTTCATTCAAGCGCTCCTTTCGAGTGGGAGTTTGAGGGGTGAACTTCATCCAGTTGAATGGTGGTGTCTCGGCAGTGTTTCGATGTTGTGGTTTCGGTGGCGAGTGTCTTGGGTTTGGTGGGCAGCAACATGGGTGATTAAATTAATCGGGTTGATTAGTATGTGTGGTTTGTTGATAAGAGGAGTAAGCTGTTTAGGTGTTGTTCGGAGTTTTGAATCTGAAAACAAGTTTCCGTCCCTGGAAGTGGGTCTTGGCATGGTGACCAAGCTGTGTTCAGATGGGTGGCCATGGTGTTTTCTCGTTTTGGTGTAGCAAAATGTTGTCCGGAGTGGGTCTTGGCTGGGTGTTGAGAGTCTAGCCGCATGTGGGTTTCTACTGGGCATTGGGAGGCTTTGGGAGTTTAGCAGCTTGGTGATGACAGGTAATGGAGTTTTTCCAGCCATGGAAATGGTGGCCATGGAGTTTTTCCGGCCAGCGATCTTCCTCGGTAGGTGCAGAGGTGCGTGCAGCAGGTTAGGGTAAGGTTTAGCAGTA